GATCCCGTTTTACCCGTTTTTATAAGGATTGAATTTTGCAAAATCCCTTCTTAGTGAACACCTACGCTCTAAAAGGAACACAGTGTTTATGTTTTAGTAAATATTCTTTCCGATCTCATAGCAGCTGCTTTAAAGCTAGACCTCTTAGACCTATCTTTTGTTTTAGATTCAAATTCAAGCAAGATCTATATTTTAAGCAAAATCCATAACTGCACAGAAACCGTAACCACACCGTAACTTAAACAAACCACATGATGTAGGTATTTTAATTATACTAGAACCAAAATTTTATATTTATTATAACGTGGGCTATAAATTTTATACATGGTCTACGTGACCATTTGCTTCTCAACTGTATCGACTTTACCCATGTAAAAGAATGTCTTATTCTTCTGACATAAAATATATTATGGAATGCAACCTGTTCCTAATAAAAGGATTAGGATTTTTTTATGGTTCCTGGTCAAAGAATTTCTCATAGCTGCGTATACGCACGTACACACATGGCAGACAATATTACTATTTAACTGCCAACAAAATAAATATTCAAGAATGAAGTTTCATTGACATGAATCATACTTGTGAATGTTTATTAGTATTACGAGTGTGCATGCCAAAGTTGTACATACTTTAATACTTATAATTATTATTTTTATCTGGAACCGGTCTACGTAGATGTCTAACATCAAGGCATCATTGGCTTATTATGGTGGCATTTCAATAATATTATTAATGTATTTTTCCCGAATAATACTTAGTTCTCAAACCAGTTCTTTCGATATTTGATTTGATGATAGTCAAACATAATTTTTTAATTGGATTCATACGCTATTATTAATATTTCGCAAAGTCTGCAACGCCGAAACACGCGGCTAGTGGAGCCAAGGGTTTCGTATCGAATCGTATAGTTACTGTTGTACTCGTGTGTATTGCAAATAGTGAAACGCATCAATGAGGACTGATGCATGCAATTCTAATTAGTGTTGCAGTTACCCAAATACATACAAATGCAGCTAACCAGAGAAAGGGATTCGATGAGATAATGGACCATCATTTATTATAATATAATGGACCCGTTGTAATCGTGATAGCAATCCTTTTACGTTGGATACGGCGCTTTATATAGGGCGCCCTTGACCTAAAAGGCTTTCTAGAATGTATGGAATTTGACAGGTACCTAAGCAATAACTTAAATTAGAAACAGACGTCACTACCAGACCTGGGGAATTAGTGTGCTACTGTTATTATTATTTCATAGATGATATACTTTTGGAATATATATTTTACTAGCTTTCCGCCCGCGGCTTCGCCCGCGTGAAATTTTGTCTGTCACAGAAAAACTTTATGGCGCGCGTCTCTGTTTCAAAAACCGGGATAAAAACTATCCTATGTCCTTTCCCGGGACTCAAACTATCTCTATGTCAAATTTCATCAAGATCGGTTCAGTCAGTACTTTCGCATTTGCTAATGTATCTCAAATATTTAAATAAATGTCATACTTCTTAATAAACATCCCTTCCTGCTATACGTTTCTTCATACACAAACTTAGGTAGTTATATCTTCATTCCTTGAATACTGTTGTATGTGACTAAAATTAGCAACACTCTCAAAACGTAGCCAATCAAATGCTTAGCGGTTGCCAATTTCTCGCTTTGTTTGTGTTGGACAAATGTCTGCAGTTGACTAATCGAGGAAACAATACTATAATGTTTATTTACTGTTTGATTTCCTTATTTAAAACCGACGTCTTAACTTTATTTTTTGTACATGCTAATTAAATTATCATTATCATTAAATAGCACGAATCTAACGAAGCCCTTGGACTTCGAAAAAAATATGAAAATATACCTACTTAATCACATGTGGTTTGCTTTGATGTTTTAATCGTTTACCCTACTACTTACTTATTTTTAGGATGTTCAAAACAATGTTCTTGCAAGTTATTTTAATTCACATTTTCATAGACTAAGTTATTATTATTTTTTAGTTTTGAGTAGAGACCATCTCTACCGCTCATGGAAGAGATCGCACATGGCATCACACATAAATCAGTCTTAATAAGTCTTACTTAATGTATATGTATTAACGGATAATATCACATTCACATTCATCTGATTATAAACAGTTATGGAAGTAAACATCTCAAAGTAGATACGGAAGTAGAATAATTTATTGTCTTCAAAGAATGCGTATAGGCTGCCTGCCTATACTTATTTATAACCTAGTCATTTACTCAACTTTCTAAGAAGTGGTCGTTAAGATCAGTGTTGCTTTTCAATACAATAAGAAACTAACTACCTACACGCTTTATAATACTGTGGGTGAAAAAGCCCTATCTATTTATGAGGCGAAATAAATGTATTTTTAAGAATCTGAAAATCAATTAATGTTTCATGTTACAAACTTTTCTAGCATGAACATGAAGGGCCTGTTCGGTCGAGTCCCTTTAAAAAACCTTTCGATAATATTTCAGGGTTAAATGATACTTAATCGTTTAATCAACCTTACAAATGGTAATACGTCCCCCTTATTAATGACTCGTTAATTGACATCTCAAGAAAAAATTACAGTCTTGCTACAACGTTGTTAATGAATAAGCAGTTGTTTTCATGACCGTGTATTTTCAACGTAGTCATTGAAAAGTTTAGCACTATCGTCGCTAGGACATAAATTAAAAGACAGTTAACTTCCGTAAATGATTTGCAATTACCTTAGGTATCTTGATGGACTACCTGAATACAGGTATAAGTGTATTTTCCATTACGTTTGGTTATAATTTCAAATAAGTATAGGTATAACCACTTGGTTATTTTATTTTATATTTGAAATTATAACCAAACTTAAAAAAATTAAAATAGTAGGTACTTGAAGTAAGTTCTGTCAAATTGAAAAGGTATTAGAAAAAGCCACATTTGGAACATTTATGAAATATCATACTTATTTGTACTAATAATAGAATACGATTTTATTTTAGTTTTGACACTTGTCTATTGTATGTAAATGTGTTTATTAATATTAGATAACTAAGAATAGATACTAAACTTAGACAACAATATTTTTCTGATATTTCAACATACTAGGCGCTATAAAAGCCCTTCGAACTTTTGGGTTATGACTTTTGTTTCAAGTGAATCATGTATTGTTATACATTGCGAATACATCAATATTTAATAATATACCTAACTAGCTGACCCGGCGAACTTCGTACCGCCTTAGCGTAGAGATTTTCTTAATATTTTTTTCCGTAAGAACCATCCTTGGACTTCCACAAACATTAAAAAAAAAGAATTATCGAAATCGGTTCAGCCGTTCACACGTGATGCCGTGACAACGCGAAACGGGTTTCATTTTTATATATATAGATATATTTTATGTATTAGAACCCTACCTACAAAGTGTTTATAAAAATGAATGGCAAAAAAGGATTTAACTTGAAACCGAACTGTCATTTGGATATGTCGTTTTAGAATAATGTGACAGGGTCGAATAAAGGTTGATATTATATGAAAATCAGATAATTTAAAGCTTGACTTTGAAATTGAAATTGTTATTTTGACAGTGTAGGTACCTACGTTAGGAACTAACTCGTAAATAGGCACAAAAAGACGTCTAATTTGTGCATACGTGCATTTAATTTTGTAGTTCAATCGAAGAATTCACGAGCGTCTAAATTTACATAAGTCTGGCAGGTGATTGGTTTATGGCGTTAGCGCCGCATCGTGTTGGTAATAAATTAAATACCATGGGATCTTGAAGGCACTTCCTTTTTTTTCTCAAGATTTAATGTTTAAACAAATGTCATTATTTTATTTTTAATGCAAATTAGGCATGTCACAGGTAATGAACGCATTTTCAAATTCTGAAAATTCAAGAGTTAAAATACTGTACTGAATTTTCCAGAATTTTCCGATTTCAGTTGGATAATAACTTTTGTTTCTTATTTAGTAACGCAACAATGCTATAAATTGCAATAAAAGGAATATAACGTATGATTATGAACAAACAATAAATGCAACCTTTGTACCTAATTGGCCTATAAAATATCGTAAAACACGATTGCAGCATTACATTGACTGCCCATCTACAAAAACTAGATAAACTTTTAGCACGTGCGGCCGTGTTTTTGATATGTAAGCCAAATCGTTGCTGATATTTAATTGTAATTCTAAGGCCGTATCTCGCGGATCCTTGACGTCAAATGGCACTGACGCAGGTGGATCCGATTCAGTACACGACATAAGATCGATTACGTTACGTTATTATACCTGTTACTATCCAATGCGATCCCATGAACTTGTGAAGCCCCTGGTAACACATGTTAATGGTGTCATTGGAGCTTTAAATTGAATCAAATTTATTACAATCGAGTATAAAGGTGACCGCAATGACGTCTAATTCTCGATTTGCTATTTTGTCCTCGTCTTTAATTGAAAAAACTTCGAGGCATTTTTTTAACTGTACAGATCATACACGCGATATCTATCCTCCTTTGTTTTTATTTGGTGACTAATGTCAATGACTCGTTTCTTCTGGCACCTTTTTCCTCGTAGTTTTCGATAAAAAGTAAAGAACTAATTTATATTATGTCGTATATCATATTCGAATTCCGATAAAGCTTGTAAAGTTTCATCAAATCCCTTAACATAATTTTATCTAGTGTGACTATCACTCATCCTAAAATCCCTACCTATCATGTTAACACAGACGAACGAAGATTAAATTATGATTAATGCGTGTAACTTACGTAACAATTAAACTAAACAATTGCATGTGTATGCCAGTGAGCTAAGTTGAATAACATTAATAATCGCTTAAATTAATTTAATATTGTCAACCTTCCTTGATAGTTCGAAGATAAATAATAATAGACCGTTTTCGTAGGATGTCAATTTATGGTTTTTCCAATTGCATATTAATTGGTTGAAAAATCTGTTCGCCGCGGTTTTTATATTTAAGACAACGACATTTAGTAACCAAAAAATAAAACTAATTGTTTCAGAACGAAGGGACATCCTAAAAGGTGTCGATGGATGCTTCAGGCCTGGAGAGCTGACCGCGATCATGGGTCCGTCGGGCGCCGGAAAAACCACGCTGCTTAATATTCTGGCCGGCTACTTGTAAGTAATTAATCGCCTGCTAATTGATTAGTTAACATTGCTTTGACTATGACACATTCATTATGGCTAATTGGCGCTCGATTATCTACCAAAACCAAGGACAAAACCGGCCCTCAAAAAGCTACTGTTGTTTTCGAAAAAAAAAAGAAAAGAGTGTGAAAACCTTGAGGTGTTTCCCAATTTAAAAAGGAACAGCACAGGATGACGAGCTTTGTGGCGCTTTTAAGCTTGCGTAGTTTGCGTCATATTATGCTGAATTAATAATGATATACATATAATTTCTCCCATAAAGAATCTCATTCGTTTTGATGATGTCAGTATTCAATGCATGTAATTATTCCGGCACTTTATGTAATTGTTGTTTTGTCATCGAAAGCCCTAGACTTCTTATGAGTATTTAGTCATTCAATTCAATTACGTCCAATTAAAGTGAATCAGTAAGCAAAACTACTCATACCATAATTATAATAACACCTCTTCACCTAGCTCTATGTCTCGAACGTGACGTAACATAAATCATCGGTTGCTTTCTTTCTTCGAAATGGCCGAGTTGTATAACAAGGAAAGTTGTCTAGACTTGTAAGTAGTATAGGATATAGAACCACTGGTCTAGCAGGCAGGCGACAACAGCTAGAAATGCTAATAAAGCTAGCCACCTACAGCTCGTATGATGTAACTGTTTTAATTTCTTCCTTGTCTGTCCCAAGACCTAGAAAAAACCTAGTTTCTTAAATTATAGGTATGGGCTTTATTATTTGTTTATGCTTAAAAAAATACCATTACTTATGTTGTAATTTTAAAAACAAGGAAGAACGCAATTTTATAGTGATCGCAAAAATCCTAGAGCTAATATAATTGTGTTTGTAATAAAATCAGAAAAATACGTTACGCATATTAGATTAGATGACATTCAAATATAACAATGAAAAAAATAACAGATAGTACTATCAGTCCCGTCCTGTGACAAAGGGTTTGCATTCATAAACATGCCTCATATGAAGTTAATGACTCAAGCAAGTGTCACTGACAAGGCCGCGTCTACCAAGGCTACTAAAGATAAATACTTATCAAAGACCCTTGCAGGATCCCAACCCGTGGACGGTCTTTGTGGTCTTGATAACGAACCAGACAGTTGATTTATAGTAGCGATAAATTATTCCAATAAAAAGAGAGTTTAACACCCTTTAATTACTATTCAATGTTAAACCCTGTTTCCACCAAAACGGCGATTTCGGAAATTTCCCAACCGAAGCTGAGCGGAGACTGATGAGTGTAATAAAACGAAATATGGGTAGTTATTCGCTTTGGTGGAAACTGAGCCTTAGATTTAAAGTAGGCAAATCTTATACTGTTCATTATCAGTTTAACTATACCAAGTATAGTATCGTCTAATTTTAACATAACTTCCAATCCAGAACCCGAGGAGCAAAGGGCGAGATCTCAGTGAACGGGATATGCGCGTGCGCATCCAAATCGTCGGGCCGCGGCGGCGCGCGCTACATTCGGCAACAGGACGACTTGCGCGCGCACCTCACGGTATACGAAGCCATGTCCTTGGCTGCTGCGCTCAAACTAGCTGACTTCACTTCACAGGAGAGAAAAGAAAAGGTAAGTGCCATAAAAAGCCATAGCCAATACAATATCTATTCATCATCATCTCAGCCATAGGACGTCCACTGCTGAACATAGGCCTCCCCCAAAGCTTTCCATGCTGCCCGGTTGGTAGCGGCCTGCGTCCAGCGCCTTCCTGCTACCTTTATGATGTCGTCTGTGTGAATATCCATTAGATGATCATAAGTGGATACCTAACCGTTATCATACCTCAACCATATCTATCAGACACAATAATATGCTAATTTCTTGACTTAGATTTCTTAAACATTTTGGGCAAAGTTTTTATACTTACTACATTTTTCCAGGTCTACGAAATCCTAGCGCTGTTGGGTTTAAGCGGAGCGGCACAGACCCTCTGCCGAGACCTTTCAGGAGGACAGAAAAGAAGACTTGCCGTAGCCTTAGAATTACTGTCAGATCCTTCCCTCATGTTCCTTGACGAGCCCACGACGTAAGTACCTACAGATAACACTGCAATTTTAATATTTTATTTCAATTTGCCTTGTATCAACCTTCAGTAGACGATGGCACCGATCGCGATAAGAAAACAATGAAACGGGAGAATTTCAATGTAAAATAAAGGTCGTTCTAGTGCAAAGGCGTTCCATAATGAACAGCCCTGCACTGCCCGCATCCAGGTTCTTCCCGCGACATTCACCAGATCGTCGGTCCACCTAGTAGGAGGCCTGCCCACGCTACATCTTGCAGCCCTTGTTTGCCACTCGAGAAATTTTCTGCTTTAGCATTTCTGCGAGCTATGTCGGAAAGGATCTTTGTCATGTAATTACTTAATATTTTTGTTCACAGGGGTCTAGATTCTTCAGCGTCTGCTTCTTTGATAGCCTTACTAAACAGCCTTGCCAGAGGTGGCAGGACACTAATAGCGACCATCCACCAACCTTCTGCACTACTATTCGAGAAGATTGACTCGGTCTACTGTTTAGCTGCCGGCAGGACTCTTTACCAAGGATCCAGAGAACAGTTACTACCAGCATTAGCCAGTGCTGGCCTGAGATGTCCTCCTTACCACAATCCAGCTGATTTTCGTAAGTAATATACTTTCTCTCGTCGTCGTCGTCGTCGTCGTCGTTTCAGCCGAAAGACGTCCACTGCTGGACAAAGGCCTCCCCCAAGGATTTCCACAAAGACCGGTCCTTTCTCTAAATGAAAATAATGTGTAGAAAAATATGACGAGGCATATGCCACTTTCGAAATTAACACTTTCAATACAGAAGTACGCTATGTTTGCAAAAATGCTTAAAGTACCTATTGTTTGCATTATGAGTAAAGCTATCAACTATTCGTGCAAATATCTTGATTTGTGTGTTCGGCAGCAAACCTTGGAAGTTAATGCTAATAGTACAAAAAATACACCCGTTATAAATGGTATTACGAGTAGGTATATGTAATGTACTAACTAATGGATGTGTAGAGACAACAGTTTGGCAATACTAATTTAATAAAAAAATTGATCTTTCACAAGTTTCACTGAACTTATGTAAATGATAACTGATAAAATGATAACACTAAGCAAAAGTGAACAAGTAATTAACGCTCATTAATTACATGAAACTAATTAATTACGCAACAGCGGAATCGATCTGATGACGAAATGATCCCGGAGATTAGCGGGATCAAGATCAAATCATTTCACTATATAATTAAGTCGTGTTTACCGCTGTCTGGAAACAGTCCAACGTCTAATTACATAAACATTTCATTTATAATATCGGTGTAAACAAAAGTACTTATTAGTTAAAGTTCACAGCATAATTATTACATAAATTAAAATTAAGTCAATATTAGAAATACTGGTAAAATAAACCGTGTGAGTACCTACCTACTATAAAGTAAGTTTTAGTAGGTAAATGTCACTGATTGAAAATACACGTTTCCTGATAAATGCATCATTTATGAATTTAGCACTTACTTACATTATTAGAAAAATATCATTGTGGCTTACTACAATGATATTTTATTGACACTTTCTTGTATTGAACTGACACATCATGTGGTAAGCCACAAGTATCTACTCGAATTTAGCGCACTGCCTAGCACATCTGCATAAAAAGCTGCACATGTCACGAATCATCGTCAAGATATCGTGAAAACAACTTATTACTCGTAATATCGTGGGAACTAACTACGCCATGCAAACATTACATAAAAACTATGACACAATAATAGGTTTTGAGAACAACGCTAAGGCGGTTACCGTGTTTAGTAAACTCACGACAGTTCTTCTCATCAAAAGATTCAAGAAAAAATATCATCATTCGTTGTGTCTACGGCTAACACGTGGAAAAGGTTTCCAATCTAAGTCTCAGGCACAGAGAAATAATACCTATCCTACTTACTCGTATGTAATCTTAATAACAATATTTTCAAATCAGTAGTCCAATACCTTAGTATAATAAAAAATGTAAACACCACATTGATAAGATAATTTAATGTGCATATTTGATTGAAACGAACATCGCTTGAAAAATACCTTGGAATATTTAAAATCTTAGAGTCGCTGTTTTATTTATTACTTGCATTGTAATATTAATTAAAACATAGCTGCATATTTGGGAATTAGATCCTTTGAAAATATTCAATTTCAAAATGTTTATTGCATGTCACATTACAATATAGGTATAGTGGTGTGGTGTTACAATAAGTAGCAATACAATACAAGCAATAATAAAGAAATATAGTAAACATAGTTGTTATCTTACCTCAGTGTTATTACAAAAGACAATAGATGAGAGTTTCACACTTCTTTTATAATTTTATTGACTAAGTAGAAAACATCATCAATAATTCGTTCAGTGCATTGATAATAACTTGTTACAATCGATTTGTAAAATTACTCTAGTTAAATAGTATACTTAATACTTATTTTATGGTAATTAAAAATCATTCAGGTTCGATGCGGACTCGCATACGAAGGGTTCAGTAGAGTTGTACAAAATTAAATAGATTGATAGGATTGCTTGAATTAAAAATTAACAAAAAAGCTCTAATAAATTAATATAGTTAGTTTTGACGTGACTAAATCAGCCACATCATGTGCTATCAAAACGGAATTATACTATTCGGCTGAACCATTTAAGAACCTAGTAAGTGCAGCGGAGCAAATTTTACAGGAGAGCGAAAAAACGCATTTTCATTTGCCCTGCTAAGATGCTTAAAGATTTGGATAACTTCCGATGTTTATATTAAAGATTAGTTACTAAAGTATACTTTATGGAATAAAAGAATATATTTAGTTAAAAATTGCAAGTTTTATGCTCTTTACTAACACTAAAAATTATTTTTTTGACAAAAGTGCCTCGTAAAAATCAAAATAAAAATCGAATATGAATCAGTACTCATGTAGTCCCCAGATTTTGATATGGTTATCGAGTGTCAGCCAACAGAACTCGAAATAATATTTCAATTACAGTAGCATTTTACCTCTAGTAAGTCACATTGACCATTTTGAAACCTAGTAAGTCCATGCCCTTACTAGGTTTTAAATGGTCATTGTAACTTGCTAGGTTTTGATAATGGTTTTTGCAGATTTGAATTGCACTTACTAGGTTTTTAGCAACGCGTTTCTCCGGTGTTAAGTGTAATAGAGCGATTTCTGTCTTCACATCCTGTGGAGACCTTAATTCTAAGGTGATTTATGACAAAAAACGAAAATCTGAAAAAGTGTCCCTTACTAGGTTCTTAAATGGTTCAGCCGTATTCCATAATATTGTCTTAACAATGCATTTCAAAGTAATAAGAGAAAATAATTATACCTTTAGAACAATAGTTGATTGATAGTCTATAGTAATAGCGCGATAATAATGTATTTTACGAGAATTTTATACAGGGTGGAAACGATAAGTGATCTCACTCGATTATTTCTAAACTATACAAGATATTAAAAAAATAGTTACTGATCCTGAAAGTGCTTCATGAGCTCTATCAAACGGTACTAATAATAGGTTAAAGAGTAAACTGGATCTATCCGAAAATTCAATGATTCCAGCTTCCATACATTTGGTACAGCCTCATAATATTAAAAACTACAAAAGAGATCGTAAAACTGGTTACTGATCCTAAAAGTGCTTCACGAGCTCTATCCAATGGTATCAATATTAAGTTACAGAATAAACTGGATCTATCTAAAAATTCAATGTTTCTATCTTCCATACATTTAGTACTATCACAGATGGCACTCATTTCTTGATAATATTATAGCAAATTTTATAGCAAGGAAAGCCTAAAAGTAATGTTTTCCATAATTAATTTTAAATAAGAATGCAATTTACGAGTTTATTTTAAGTTTACTTATTTAATTTTAAAAAAATACACTTCTAATATTCTGTGTTTGGCATACATTTCTCGATATACTGTATAGTTTAGAAATAATCGAGTGAGATCACTTATCGTTTCCACCCTGTAGATCTTCTAGTAGAGCGGTAATGTATTCTACGATCATTTTATAGCTCCTCCAGACTATAATTTTAATGGCACTGCTACCTTAATAAGGTGTTATCCATATTATTATTACGAGTATATACTTATTAACTTAACATAAACTTCTTAAACTAATATAACTTCTGCCCCCTTATTCATAAAAAGTTAACCTAGGATAAACACAGGATTAATATGATATTTCCATACTAAATGACAACTTAAGCCAAAATCCAACTAGGGTGTAACTTTTATCAATAAGGGGGCTGAAGTTTAACAACTCCTGTAACTGTACTAAACAGTAAAGTGAAAATTTCCATTTTGCAGTAATGGAGGTGGCGTCAGGTGAATACGAGGTGGACCTCGTAAGGGCAGCGAAGACCATGGAAGTGTTCAGGTCGGATCCCACAGCCACGAGGACGTATGAGGCTCACGTACCCACCATACCTGCTTTACCAGGACCTTTAGGTAAGTTGTTTACAATTTTTTATCGCCATTAATAAAAATCTAAACCAATTTATATATGAGCCTTTAACCGATTGAGTCCCAGACGGCATTAATTAATGTCATAACAATTGATTATCTATTGTGTCTAGATTCGCGGAGCTTGAAGGATTAAAAAATCGTCTTACTAGCAAAACATTTCAAGGGATACGTACACTTATAGGGTTGAATGAGCCGATTATCGGGAAGAAACATTTTTTTTTTTTTTTTGGCTTTGGGACTTGCGTCGGGAGAAATAATAAAAGAAGACCATCTGACAACCCTAAACCCACTAAAGAGAGAATACCTATTTAAAGTTGATTGAGGCTAAGTAGGTCATGAAGAAGAAAATTAACTTTGAAAATTCGACTAACTACAACTATTAATGGCGAATATTTGTCTTATTTTGTTTTTGGACTAATCGATAGGTATATTAACAATCAGACTATTTGTTAATACATGACAGAACAATAGGACTACTGTAGTTCATTAGAGCATATTTATTAGCATGAAATAACAGAGGTCGTTATGAACAATACTCGACATTTGAAAACACGTGCGTCTCGCCTGCATTTACATAAGTACTACGACACGGTTGTTTTGATGTTAGGCACCGATAACTAAATCATGGCTTTACAATGGGATCTGCCGTCTAAGCCGTGGGGCTTAGTGGTAAGGATACTTACTAAACTATAGTGAGTTCGATTCGTACTGGGGGCCAAAAGATAACGTGATAACTTTAAGGCTGCGTTGCACCATCTTACTTTAACTTTGACAAACGTCAAAATTCTGTCAAACTCTATACAAAAAGCACCGGTTATCGTCTGGTACCGTTAAAGTTAGGTGGTTTATCCAGACGTGGAAATTTTAAAGTATTATCTTATGATATTTATTTTGGATCTATTTACATTATTCAATCCGTTAACTTGTCGTCTTTGGTAGGTACATGATATTGCAAAAATATATGTGTTTGTTTGAAATAAGTAATTTACTAACGTCTTAATTTAGATGACACCAAAAAGCAAGTTTTTGGTAAATATGGACATTATGAAGATTGCCATTAGGTATAGGGAAAACTCAAATCTTTCAAGTATCATAACCATTAACAAACTAAATTTTATTTTTCCTTATTTCAGATATAACCTCGGAGCTAAAACCGAAGCACCTACTAGTGAATTCAAAACACCAACAAAAAGCCTCCAAAAACATTTATAGGCCATCCGGTCTCCTCAGGCAAACGTGGATCCTCTTATATAGAAATTATTTAATGACAACAAGAAATTATGTAAGTAATTTTTGAATGAGGATGATATTGTTCTAATACCTATTTGAGTTTAGCAATATTGTTTGCAGTTTTGTTTCCAATACTTTGCTCATGTCATAATACTCGTACAAATTAAATTGTTATGTATTAGACATGAGGAAAAACGTTAGCCCTATGGTTCGGCAGAGTAGAACATGTAGGACAGTGGCAGCTGTTTCTGAGAATTTCTTAAGAGGCAAACATGAGAGAAACATGCTAGCAACAGGCCTCTCCAAACCATCTGGCCACCGTGGAAAGTGTAGGACCAAATCCTTCATTTGCCTCTAATAAATTGGAGAGGGCCGTGTTCTTGTAGAAATTAAATGAGTTGATGATGATAATGAAGATCGTAATATACAGGGTGTCCCAAAAATTAGTAAGCCCAGAGGTAGAGCATCACTAAGGCTACCCAAATCACCGTGACTTTTGATAGTTTACGAGTTATGATTTTTTTACAACATACCTACAGGATTTTAGTGTTATGGATGTAAATACTTCTGAATCAGTTAGGCTTAGTATTCATTTAATAATAAAAAAAATCAGGCATGTAACTTAACTATTCGCCGCGCCACAGTGACCAAAAAAGTGCCCAAGCACAGAAATTAAAAAAAATCATAACTCGAAAACTTATCAAAAATCGCTGAACATACATGGGGATGATTTGGATAGCCCTAGTGATACTCTACCTCTGGGCTTCGGTTTGACACTACTTTTAGGGACATCCTGTATAATAATCCAGATAAAATGCTGATAATGCATTTGAAGATGATATTAATTCAGTTGAAGATTTTGATGGTGATGATGATGAAAATCTTTTCTTCCAGTCCTTATTCATGTACCGCGTGGCAGCGCATGTGGTGATCGCTCTCATCTTCGGCTACCTATACCTGGGCGTGGGAAGCGAAGCCAGCACAGTGCTGGGCAACTATGTATATCTTTATGGGTCGATGCTGCTAGTGGTGTACACTGGGAAGATGTCCGTCACGCTCTCATGTGAGTATAAGTGGTTTAATACGAGTATATACAGCGTGTTAGGTAAATGGGTGTCTGAGCCGACAATAGCCCATGTTAACATGGGCATATAAATGGTATGGTGAAGTCAGAAATTCGATATCATCATTTTTTTTTTTAATTTTCATACAAAATAAATTTTATAAAATCAGATTTGTATGAAAATTAAAATAATTAAAATGAAGATATCAATTTTCTGACTTCACCATACCATTTATAATGCCCATGTTAACATGGGCTAGTGTACTCATATACCCATTTACCTAACACCCCGTATAGGTTAAAAAAATAATAGGTATAAAGCTAAATCAGAAAAAAAATACGTGCCGTGGTTCATCATGATTCTGACTCTAACACGTCTGAAGGTATTATTCTAAGTTTTGTGGACGCAGGCTGCTACCAACCGGACAACATGGAAAACATCGAGGGAGGCATATGTTCAGCTGTGGACGTCCTATGGCTGAGATGATGATGATGATGATTTGTAATATCCTACCTGGGTTGCTTAGCTAAATATGACAGATTCCTACATAAATATGCACCCGCAATTTCACTCCAAAAATGTTTTGCTACTCTTATATTAACAAACAAAAGGGTATGAAATTACTGTCCTATTACATTAATCACACACTTAAGAGTTTATTTTGATTTTCTTATTCAAAGTAGATTTAATCTCGAAATATCTATAGAAACTAATTATTACAGGCTTAATTATAAGCCAATGCTCGTGGCTGCTGTTAAACTTCCTAAGTGAGGTTCAGGCGATAGTGGGTGATCTTTGACGTGCTCTCGCAATAATGTTAGCAATTAAAGGCTTACCATAACATTTATTAGATAAAACGCTGCTTAAATTATTGCCTCGTGTCTCTAGAATTACTTTGATGTTTTGATTGCAATCGTATTAACGTAGAGATTGTGTTGTCTGTTAATTGTATGCAAATCAGTAGTAGTTGAGTCACTACGACATGAAATGACACATTTCATTTTCTATGATTTCTTCAAATCTTTAGAGTCTAAATGTTTGAAATGTAAAACTGTAAATAAAATTCAATGTTTCAACAACTTGCTCAACGTTATAAAATAGTGTAACTTCTGATCAAGCCTTTGCTCGCATAAATTTTCCAACGTTAAAAGTTTGCGTCTTTTAAATATTTTCATTTTGCGAAATTTGTTTTAGTAGACTGCTATCGGTCTACTTATGACCATTACGAATATCCATTTAAAACATCGATGGTGATATCTCATTAGTAGGTACCTACCTAATTTCGAAAACTATACTTTACTTTCAAAGTAACAGACATGCAGATTTTGCCCCTATTACTGTACCTATAGATCAGATAGCGCCATGTTAATTGTCTGTTTTAATTAAAAGTTCGAGTCTTGATGCTTATCACCTCATTCCGAGTACTTCGCTTACATCATCGCATTGAATAATTTATGTGTTTAAATGTAAATAATTCTGCTTAGCTCAGAGAACGCACCATATCTTTATCCCTTTATGTTAGATGAAATTTTAAAGATGCATTATACCATGTACACATGTTATGGTACCCATCTGGCCAAATCCTCCATTTACCTCTAGTGAATTAGAGAGGGGCATACTCCTGCAGTGACCTAAAAATGATGAAATTATGCAAAATCGTCTGTTAGGTACAAGATGACTCCTAACTGTAATTACAATACCAATATACACTTGAATAGCTTCTTATTAAGTTATTAAAAACCCTGACAGATCCGAAGGAGATGATTCTGGTACTAAATACATCAATTTTTGTTACAGTTCCGTTGGAGATGGACATACTAAAAGGGGAATATTTCAATCGATGGTATAAGCTGGGTCCGTATATCGTCTCTATTCTAGCCGTGGAATTGCCTTTTCAGGTAAGATATTCTTATTAAATAATGACGGGTAAATTTTTCTTCATAGGAAATATTGACACGATGTAACATTTTCGCATGGGTCTCGTAAGAGGTCAAAGGGAGAAATATGCAAATATTAGGCCTATCCAAGCTGTCTGGTCAACATGGGGAAATCCTCCCTTTTGCCTCTGATAAATAGGTTTATTCTTCTGCAATGGAGTCTAAATTATGATGATCCTTTTGAAGTCAACTAATTAGTACTAAATCAATCATTTCTTTCTGTCCGCTTGGATTTCGTGAAATTTTCTCAAAATGTGTCTTTAATCAACTCTTCAACTATCAGTACCTTGGGCCAAAGGGATGTTTCAACCAACCTATTGCTTATTCATGTCAAACATTACTTCCAGATGATCTCATGCGTGTCATACGTAGTGCTGTCGTACTGGCTGACGGACAACCCGCTAGAGCCGACGCGCGCCACGCTGTTCCTGGCCACCATCGTGGCCACCTCGCTGTGCGCTCAGGCTTGGGGCTACTTCATCGGCTCAACCACCCCCACTAAGGTGATAATCCCAACCGTGCAGGTCATCTCATGTGTATCATACGTGGTGCTGTCGTACTGGCTGACGGACAATCCTCTGGAGCCGACGCGCGCCAAGCTATTTCTGGCCACCATCGTGGCCACCTCGCTGTGCGCGCAGGCCTGGGGATACTTCATCGGCTCCACCACCCCCACTAAGGTGATGAACCCAGCCCTGCAGGTGATCTCAAGATCTCATGCGTATCATACGTGGTGCTGTCTTACTGGCTGACAAATAATCCTCTGGAGCCGACGCGCGCTTCTCTGTTCCTGGCCACCATCGTGGCCACCTCATTGTGCGCGCGGGCCTGGGGCTACTTCATCGGCTCCACCACCCCACCAAGGTAACTAGAGCTAAATTGTTAATTTATATGCCCACTACAATAATATCACAAGCTTGTAGAGCTGATGGCCATTGAGGCAGAAAAGTTCTCCAATGATGACCGCGAACCGGAAAACCAAACAGAGTAAGAAAGCCTTCCATTCGGTTAACTAATCTGGTGAAGGTCGCGGGAAGTACCACAGATACGAGTAGCGCAGTACCGATTATTGTGGAAATCCTTTGGGGGAAATGACAAATCACCTATTCAGCTTAGGCACAGCAATAAATTGATTCCAGCTGACTTGACTATTGACCATTTGACTTGACTTGATTATTATAGTATCAAGTGACGTAGGGTATCTTACGGTCCCCTCTCGTACTACATTTAAGTTTATATTTCTACAAGCAATACAATTCAACGCCTGTACTAATCACACTTGCAATTCCCCAGATCGCAGTATTCGTGGGCCCAGTGGTCGCGTGTCTGTTCTCCGTGTTCGGATTCTGCCTGGCGCTCTCCGACACGCCCTACGTGTTCCGGTGGCTCCACCACATCTCGTACTTCCGAGCTGGCTTCCACGTGGCCGTCCATTCTGTCTACGGCTTCAACAGGACCAAGATTCACTGTTCTAAGAGTAAGTTTGCTTTAGAATTAAAAGGATTATTTAAATTATTTAGCTCTCCGACAGATTCTACGATCTTTTTTTGATAATTACCTATTATTAGGCTAGGTTGCTAGGTAGGATGGGGCAGAAAGGTTCTGGAATGGAGGCCGCGTACCGGAAAACGCAGCGTGGGACGTCCACCTACAAGGTGGACCGACGACATCGTAAAGGTAGCAGGGAAGCGCTGGACGCAGGCCGCTACCAATCGATCAACATGGAAAGCATTGGGGGAGGCCTATGTTCAGCAGTGGACGTCCTGTGACTGAAATGATGATGATGATGATGATGATTAGGCTAGGTTAACCTAACCATTCGAAATCTTTCCTTTTTGAAAACCTGACGTTTTGAAAACCAAACTTCAAAAACCAAATTTTTTGAAAACCTAGAAAATCAATATTTTTAAAACCAAACTTTTTAAATCTTATTTTTTTAAAACAGTACCTAGTTCATAACCTAGCCTAACGAAACCTTATGAAAATCAATCCCAACCTAACTTTTGAAAACCTAACCTAACTTTGAAAACCTAACCTAACCAACCTAACTGAAAACCTAACCTAACGAAGCCTTTTCTAAAGTAACTTTTTTGAAAACAACCTTTTTTGAATGGTTGAATGACATGAATTTACATTCTTTTCCAGTGTACTGCCACTACATCACGCCTAGCAAGTTCCTGACGGAGATGGACATGGCGGAGGTGGACGTGGGCGGCAACATGGCGCTGGTGGTATCCACCACGGTGCTCATGCATCTGCTCACCTGCACCGTGCTATGGTTCCGGCTTAACAAGAGATGAGACCGTCAGTTCAGTTCGAACACTTCTATGTGTACTACTAGATAGGATACAAAATGACTCACTAAATTGTTATCTGGAAGTCTCTAGTTTAAATAAATAAGTACACAGCAAAAATAAAAAGGACACTGCAATGGTGACTATGTACCAAGCTTGGTGGACGTAGGCGGAAATATGGCGCTGGTGGTGTCCACCACGGTGCTCAGGCATCTACTCACCTGCACCGTGCTATGGTATAGACTTAATAAAAGATACGACCTTCAGTTCACTTTACTTCTATGTACAGTCACGGAATGAAAAGGTTCGTCAGTTTTCAAATTGATTCCCTCAACGAATCGCGAACACATATTAATTACCTTTTGAAACTATGTTACAGAATAATCTCGAGTTAGAGAAAATAATCTTTAACTGTTCGTCAGTAAAGTTCAAACTTATTCACATCAAAGTTGTTTGACGATTTAACTTGTCAAGAAGATTATTATGATTGATAAACTAAAACCTTCTTGATGGTTCAACCTGCCATTATCTATTAAATAAAAAAAACTACATTTTGTAACATTGCACTGATGGGATCGAAAAATAAACAAGCAAAACCTTATTCGTTAGCAAACGTCATATTTATTTAAATGTTAGCAGCAATGTTTCTTGCACGGTTATGTTGGCAGGTTTGACTCTTACAGTACCTAGTGCAAGCGAAAACCGACACTAAGGTGACGAACCTTTTCATTCCGCGACTGTACCTATACTACTAGAATAGTGTAATGATAATACTTACATATACCTACTTTTTGTGTACCACCATAGTCCGCCAAAGATCTAGTAGTATACGTGAACATCTCTAGTTTAAATGAAGAGTACATTGTCATAACATAACCAATTTAGAAGACAGTTTATTATTATGAGGACGTGTTCGGAAATATGGCGCTGGTGGTGTCCACCACGTTGCTCATGCATCTGCTCACCTGCACTGTGCTATGGTTCCGGCTTAATGAGAGATGAGACCTCCAGGGTTTTATTATACGAACACTTATATTACTACTAGATAGGGTGCGGTGAATATGGTAGTGTACACCCTTCTCAATTGTTTTTTTTACGTCAGAAAATGCTTTATGTAGGACTCTAAGGGAGGCAGAAGGGCTGGACCTAGCCATTAAAACACGGTGGTGTCCTTCGGAGCCCCATGAAACGAGCCCCTTTATTATCCTAACTTGAACATTTGTCCCTAGCTCAGCACAATTTATTTGCCATACCTTATTTAGTAGTACATGGAAGTCTCTAGTTTAAATAAATAGTACACAGCAAAAACAAAAGACGATGCGATAGATATCTGGTGATCTATTCTATGGACCAATTTAAGTATACTTCTCTAAAATATAACATAGGCGTACCTACATTATTGCGTACTAATTAGTTCAATGTCTCTCGAATATTATTGAGTTTCTTTTAATTGACTTTTTTTGGTTTTCGATATATTATATGAATCAAACAACCAATTATGACTATTTTAAACAGGATTGAATCCGTAAATAAATAAATCTTAGAGACAGTTTGTAATTTTGACTGAGTCTAAAACAACATGACGACATAGGTTATTGTTTGAAATAAAATACATATTTACCTACATAAAAAGCTACCTTTCATTATAGCCGAAACGGTATTAAATTAAACAGTAAATAATGAATAACTATTAATATATCGTTCATAATGTTTAATGACTCAAATATATGCTAAGTGTATTTGGCAACAAACATTGGTAAATTGATTCCTTCATTACTTTCGTTTTGTTTACAGTTCAACGTGATACTGATAAATCGTAATTAAACTCGCATATAGTGGTTAATACAATGTTATTATGATCGGTGCATCAAATGAAGTTGAAGAAACTTATTATTACTGATACTCGTAACCTGAGTTAAAGTTTAAACACCAGCAATTATCATATCGTTAAATGATGTTTAACCTACCTACTTTTTTCATTTACTAGAATTTCCGACTCCAATTTAATTGTCTTAGGCTATGCGCATACGGGTGACTTTTTGTCACAGTGACAATATATCTTTCTCTTTTACACTTTTATCAAAAGAAAAAGAGAGACAATTCCTATTAAACTTATTTTCATCTATGGAGAGACATACTGTCACGGAATTGCACGCGCGCTTTTAATGTTACAAAACCTAAATAATAAATGAAATTAAATGTTACCGCTAAAAATGTAGAGTTTAGTACAACTACCTCATTGTTTTATATGTCGCACTTTTCCATAATCATTTATAAACATATTCACGTTTCTAGATCTGAACTTTGACGTGACTGATTAGTGATTTTAAAATAAGATGACAATGAGTAATTTTAATTAATACATAATGGTGATAAAAATGAGTTTCCACGATAGATCTTAATTTAGAATTCCTATTTTTTACATTCTGTAGTGTAAATTGAGTAATAGAATGGTTTATTACATGGTGTAACTTTTTAATAAAATCTTTGTAAATATTTTTTCATGACTGTGGTTGACGGTTACTTACTTAGGCGAATCGAATTATTAGTTAGTATTATTAATTGTAATTTAGTGTCAAAACGAAGATTTACTATGTACTTAGAACGATGTGATGAATGCGACATGTGGCCAAACTTGCCCTAACGAAATATTCAAATTTTAAAAAAAATCTAAATAATTTGATAACAGCCTTTAAAATGTTCAGAGAATAATATCAGCATTTGCCAGTTATTAGGATATTTATTTAATTTATCATTTAGATTATTAATAACTTATATGAATCTGTATTAAATTAAGTGACTACATAGGTATAGTTATTAAGGTAAGCTGATAGAATCTATATTTAACAAATGAACCAAACCTTTTGACAAAATGTTAATTTCAATAATAGGTATGTGCTTGCGCTAACCCCGTTTATTTTGATTTGAAATTAAAAATATTTTAATTCCTAATAATTATTGCTCTAAATATAGCGTGATATATGGTTTGTAATCTCTTGTCTCATGTACTTTTTGGTTTTATTCTTTGATTTATTAATTCATTCGTCCAATTTAATTTTACAATATTTTTAAGTCGACCTATTTTATAAACGGTTTTATAGGACAAACGGCTTTTGTATAGCATTAAATAAGTGGATTTCTGTGGTTCAGTGAAAATATTTTATAAAAAAAATGTATAGATTTAAGTAAAAAATAAAGTGATAATTTTAAAAAATATTATGTTCTTACATTATTTCGGTTTTCTTCGAAACTAAAAAGGAGTAAGTATTATAATATATTTTTTACAAATTCGATAAAATTATCTTCGTGTTACAAATTCTTATCTTTAACCAGTCTTTATTTTACACGAAGTGCAACACTATTCTATAGCGATTTTAATCTTCATAACTTAAAAATATAAATCAAGGCAAAGTATGACAATCTTTGTGCTACCGCCTCTTTGCTACCAACGAGCGCCTGATAATTTACGAACGGTTTGTGTGTGAGTTCATTTACATGAAGCAGGTTCCGTGCATTTTCAATGTATTAAAATACCTGTATTAATAATTTAATTACAAGACTCTATATTTGGCTGTTCCTTTTACGTTTGAATTTTCGTAGGTTACAATTAGATGTTATATTTATCCCAAAAAGCTGCACCCACCCCACTACTTTTCCCAAAAATAATTTACTCCTTTACTCAATGCGTATTTTATTTAACAAGCTACCGAAATACAAAATATCTGTAAAAAAATTAGTTAGATTTAACTAAGTTAGAAGTTTAATGATAGAGTCACCTTTATTTATGAGTGATCTCATGTCTTTCAAAGGTTTTACGGAACCCAAAAGGACATAATATTGAGCTCTAAATATAGCTAATTTAACGTGTTTCCTAGAAGGTCTTTCAACCACTGCGCAATAATATTAGCCCCTAGTGACGTCGCTTATCGCGCACGCCTTGGAAGTATGCGTGCGATAAATAAAATCAAATAATTACATTCAAATCTGGCATTATAGTATGATCGAATTCGACTTTTCACTGGCTTTCCTCTACAATGTTTAACTGTTAAACAAAAGACGCAGTGACCATATGTTTTTCCGCTTGAAAAGTCTACAAGCTGTTTTGTTTACAATTTTCTAACGTCGTGGGTAATGTCTATGGTTTGCGTAGATTACAGCGCCATCCATCAGATTAGGTATGGGTTCGAATCTCGGCACGTGTAAATGTAGACTCTACATTGTAGAGTGTTGAGCACCAATATTAATCTATTCCTGAAGTCATGGATGTTAGGCCTAAGTACTGATGAGCTAGGCTTTTTATAAAGCTATAGAAATATAGAGACTATATTACTAAGTCGAAAGATAACATGACATATAATTTAAGAGCTGTTAGAGGTGACTAGGTACTTACTGAGTAATGCAAAACAAAAATTACGTTTTGTTTTAAACAAAATTCGCTCCAATTAACAGACGGGGAAGCAAGGTTCTGGAATGGAGACTACGTACCGGCAAGCGCAGCGTGGGACGTCTACCCACAAGGTGGACTTATAACCTCATAAAGGTTGCAGAACTGCTGCTATCACACAGAGTAAAGAAAAAAATACTTATGTGCTGCTACCACGGTCAATCTGGAAATTATTGGGCCTATGTTCATAATATGACTTAATGATGATGATGACGACACATCACTGTGACTTATGACCCAATCATAACGTTCCTAAGCCTAATTAAATCAATTGACAATGTGGTGTTCATTAAACAAGTGTTTTATCTTATCCAGAATATTTTGTAATTATTGAAATTAAATTATAATCATTTAATCGACTTAAAAGTTTGATATTAAACACGTGCAATGAGATAATTATACAGTTGCTAGTCGAGGTTAACGAATATCAACCAAAATTTTGCGTTTTTGATAGGTAGGTATTTATTATGCTGGAGAAAAACTCTACATTACGTAGATATTTGCAAAGCAAGAACGTGAGCTAAAATATTCCATGTGAAATTATTATTACCAGGAACATAAAAACCCTCGCCATGTTGCGGAAAACTAATGGTACTAATTTCTTTTAATGGCAACAGTAACTGAAAACTTCATTGACATGTCACCTTGCATGTCAGTCTATTGCTGTCAAAGTGTAAACAAACTTTATTTTAAATGTGCGCAATTGATTTTGTGAATTAAATTGCTAAAATCTTTTTATAGTCGTGAAAGAAAAGTGGTTCACAATGTGTTAAAGTATTTGTCGAAGAGAAATACTAAGGGTTCGGACAATATTTTCATTGAATAATGTTTCCGACAAAGGTTGTCAAATTGACTGACATGTTTATCGTATAGTACAGTCCACTATGAAAATTAGCTGTGGTTTGTTTCAA